GTTCGGCCAATTCGTACGCGAAATCCTTAATAATCCGGTTAGGAATATTGTCAGGACCGCTGGATTTGAAAACTTTTGTATTGAGCATCTTAGTGCAAACTTCGTCGGGGAAAATTTTTGGTACAGGCCTAGGTGCAGGGAGATAGGCAGGTAGCAGGAGAGGATTCAGTGGTGATAGGTCATTACTCACGCTTAAGAAATAGGTGTTAAGTGATTGGGCGAGATCTTTACCAGATAGAGTGGTACCATTCTTAACGATCTTAATGTTATTGGTTGCAGATCTTTTTTTCCCGGACATCTGGTTAACGCAGTCCCACCATTTTCTGGAGTCACTGGATTTTAGGTGTTGTACCTTGTTCGTATAATATGCACGCTTTTTCACTCCTATGTCGTTTCGGACTTTAAGTCTATAGTGACGCCAGAGGTCAAGGTTACCAGAATGAAAGGCTTTTTGCCTTTGATAAATCAGTTTTTTAATGCAGGCGTCATCCATGGTTTGTCAGAGTTATGAATTCTAATAACCTTAGACGGGAATAACCTATCAACAGCAGAATTTAACTCGTGGGTAAAGGAGGACGCTAGAGCGGTCGCAGAGTTTTTGCTTTCGGCATCAGAGAACCACTCACGTGAGCAGCACCATCTTCCAAAAGCTGCACGTGCCGACATGGGGAAGGAACGTATGTTTTTCTTAATTGTTTTATTATCTGTTCTTAAAACGTTAGTTTTCGCGCACCATTTAACAATGTTGTGATCTGATGAGCCGAGCGGTGCTATAATCACAGGCTTAGAATACAAGGCTTCTAGATTAGTAACAATTAGATCCAAGATGTTACCTTCACGCGTTGGGGTGTCCACTATTTGCGTAAGATTGTGATGGCACAGGAGGTCGCTGATATCTAAATTGTTGAAATCACCGAGTAAGACAACACCGCAGTCGGGGTGGGTACATCTAACTCGGTCAATCTGATCGATAAGATAGGCCGTTAATTCCTTTTGCTCATTGACTGGTGTATCAGGCGGGTTATATAGGACACAGCAGATTAATCCAGTTAGGTGTCTTGGGAGGCGGTGGGGTCGTAGCCATAACCATAAGCATTCATGAGAGGGGTTTTCAAGGTCCATTCTTCTTTTAGCTGGGATATTTGTCGAGATGAAAGCGCAGACACCCCCCCACCACGGCTGTAAGATCTATCATTGCGAAAAATGTTGTAATTATTTATGTAAATTAGTTGCTCAGGAACAGTATCATTGAGCCACGTTTCAGTTACAGCAATAAACTCTATAGAATGTATTGATAGTAAGAGGGATAGCTCGTCTATTTTGGGTAACAGTGAGCGAGCATTTATAAGAAGAAAACTCGGTAATCTTGATATGTTGTTTCGGTTCAATATCCACTATCTTTGGCTTCACCTTTCATTCTGGCAACTTAAGTAAGTCTAGTTACATAAGCCAGGTTTACACTATCAAAGTTTCTGTGATCACAGTAGGAATTTCGCAAATAAGTAAAGTCTAAGTTTTGAAGAATTTGTAAGAACTGTTTGAGGGAATTGACTCAGGGTTAAACACCAAGTCACTTAACTCAAACATTTCTTAAAGGGTCATGATCAACCACAATGCGTTTGTTTACGTTTCTGTGACGTTGTGGGCTAGAGGCAGCAATTTTTGTGGCCTCGAAAATGGCGGCAACTATTGAGGAAAGTAACTGAAAAACGTAAACAAAACCGCGCATTGCATTGTGGTTGATCATGACCCTTTAACAAACCATTCAAAATTGCTAGTGTAATATTCCTACTGTGATTACAGAAACTTTGATAATGTAAACCAGCCTATACAGTATGGGACAGGTCTGGAAAAATGTGAGATCTCGGGATTCAGGATCATGAGGAATATATGTAGAAGCAACAAGATTGCAAAACATTTTTACATTTTTCACATGCATATACTTTATGGAGAATCTCAAGTAAGACAGTAAGTTGAGAGGCATGTAGTAAAACATGGACTGGACTCATAAGTAAAACATGGACTGGACCCGATTAGTAAAACATGGACTCTATTAGTAAAACATGGACTCTATTCGTAAAACATGGACTCGATTGGTAAAACAAGGACTCGATTAGTAAAACATGGACTCGATTAGTAAAACATGGACTCGATTAGTAAAACATGGACTCGATTAGTAAAACATGGACTCATTAGTAAAACATGGACTGGACCCGATTAGTAAAACATGGACTCTATTAGTAAAACATGGACTCTATTAGTAAAACATGGACTCGATTAGTAAAACAAGGACTCGATTAGTAAAACATGGACTCGATTAGTAAAACATGGACTCGATTAGTAAAACATGGACTCGATTAGTAAAACATGGACTGGACCCGATTAGTAAAACATGGACTCGATTAGTAAAACAGAATAATTTCATCGCTGTCGTCGGATGACTTGTGTGAAGATTATTTACTATTGAGCTTATGTTTTTTATGTAATTCCAGTTATAATGAATAATATTTCGTGGTGGAAAACAGCACGTAAACGCTTAATAGCTTTGGATCCGTGAACTCGTACATTATTCTAATGGCATTTTTGATACTCCATTCAATATATTTATATAATATTGTACAGTCGAACTACATACGAATGCTGGTTCATATATTTAATAAATGAAGTAAAGAAAACTTGAATAAACTTGTACAAAATATGTTCAAAAAGGATATTAGTGCGTATACGCCGCCATATTGTTTCCAAGCCACCGAAAAACATGTGTTCGCACTTTTTGGCGATTACGTAATAAAGGCAAAAAATGTCAACGACGTTTTTGTCCCTAAATGAAATCGATCGCACAAATGTTATAGACATAGTGAAGACGGAAATTTTTTTATCCGAGAGATTATTTTTCGATACATACGAGACTGAAAAACACTAAAAACATATATGGCAACAATTGAGGACAACAACAACAGCACTGAGCAAATGCAAATACACGTACAGTTTCGATATGGCTGAAAGCTTGAAGGGTCCATTTTCGCAAGTGCCAGTGTTACAAAATAAAAGCACAGAAGCAACAGGTTTGCGCACATTTGAATGGAAGAACATCGTTAAAGAAAAGAAAATTGGTTCGGGTAGTTTTGGATCTGTCATATGCCTTGACATCCAACATGGCAGCTCAGCAAGGAATTCGGTCGCCCAACGTGATGTCTCAACAATGTTCCTTGACATCCAACATGGCAGCTCAGCAAGGAATTCGATCGTCCAACGTGATGTCTCATCAAAGTGCCTTGACATCCAACATGGCAGCTCAGCAAGGAATTCGGTCCTCCAACCTGACGTCTCATCAAAGTGCCTTGACATCCAACATGGCAGCTCAGCAAAGAATTCGGTCCTCCAACCTTATGTCTCAACAAGGAATTTTAATATCTAATGTCGAGTCGCATAGTGTCACACCCACCATACAAACGCAATATGCAATTCCAGCTAGACATAAGCCTAATCCCGGATCGTTCATATTTGAAAAATTGGCATTCCTTGACCCCCGAGTCTCGCGTTGCTATGGTTGTGGGGACCAATTAAAGCCAGGGGGTAATTTGCCATCTCCACCTAATGACCTGGTTATGACAACACGACTGCACCGAAGGTATTACAAAGAGGGACAGTTGCAAGTTTCGCTAGAGATAAAACCAGTGTATCTCATGGTAGTTCATATTGCGCTCGATCTGCCTACAAAGATTTCAACGCAGCATCTTGCCAATTACCGGACGATCTAAGGCCACACCTTCAGAAAGAGCACTATGATTTGATACTTAAGGGATTAGGTATCAAGTTATTTAGTAATACAATCTAGCATATTTTTCGTTGAGGTATTTGAACTATTTTTTCAGAGTTGAACATTTCATCTGGAAAATTTCATGTTGGTAGGCATTATGTGCTATTCCACTAAATGAATCAGACCAATTTTTTCCTGAAACATTTAAACAATTTTTCATTGTGTTATATTTTAAGCTGCCATATTTCTTGAGTCTGTGAGGGGCAAGATATTTTTGAAAGTGTCGCGTATCGATTTATTCCACGAGGAACTTCCTAATTATGGACGTTTCCCAGATGACCCCATCTCCCCCCCCCCCCTCTTACAAACCTAACACGAAATTGAACAGGGGTCGGTTGTATCAAAGGCGTTTGGCTTAAAGGGTGTATAGGCAAAAAATTAAAAACATTCGAATTCCTATTCTCAATATACATATATTGTAAGTACTTGAACTTAATTTTTATCAACTAAATGTACTTAGTAGTTTTATGCATTGTTATTATGTTTAGACAGAAAAGAAAAGTTTAGTTTGCTTGTAGTCAATAGTTCATAGATTTGTTTAATGTTTTTGACTTATACAACCGACCCCAGATCTATTTATCGGCCGTTGTTCGCACGCAAACAAATATGTAAATGCTTCATATTTAACTATTGGCAAACGGTTGCCGGTGGTCAGAATGTCTGACACTATCAATCCAAAATTCGTAAATTAGTATTACAGGAAACATGCCGATTGTCGGAGAATCTTTTTATCGAGTATATATTTATAAAAAATATAGTGCACACAACGCAACCACGTCCAAATGACGTTTCTCCTGCGATAAATCGATGTGGACGTGTTAAAATAGCAAAGGTGTTTCTGTTTACATAAAAATCAAGAAATCATCTATATCTACATAGCATTACCAAACTGTCGGTAAATAATTTGGTATTTATTCCACATTTACTTACAATGGCCGATGCTTCTTGAAACTTTACGTTAAATATCGATGAGATCTCTTATACACTAAAGTTGATGTTATTAAAATTACAATTTACAAAAAAACAGACAAGGAACTACATTTAGGAATGTTTTACTAATCGAGTCCATGTTTTACTAATCGAGTCCATGTTTTACTAATCGAGTCCATGTTTTACTAATCGAGTCCATGTTTTACTAATCGAGTCCATGTTTTACTAATCGAGTCCATGTTTTACTAATCGAGTCCATGTTTTACTAATCGAGTCCATGTTTTACTAATCCAGTCCATATTTTACTAATCGAGTCCATGTTTTACTAATCGAGTCCATGTTTTACTAATCGAGTCCATGTTTTACTAATAGAGTCCATGTTTTACTAATAGAGTCCATGTTTTACTAATAGAGTCCATGTTTTACTAATCGAGTCCATGTTTTACTAATCGAGTCCATGTTTTACTAATAGAGTCCATGTTTTACTAATAGAGTCCATGTTTTACTAATAGAGTCCATGTTTTACTAATAGAGTCCATGTTTTACTAATAGAGTCCATGTTTTACTAATAGAGTCCATGTTTTACTAATCGGGTCCAGTCCATGTTTTACTAATGAGTCCAGTCCATGTTTTACTACATGCCAAGTTGAGATTGTTAAGTGTTGTTCAACATTCATATTGAATTAGGACAAATTTTCTACTGTTTTTATATACACACAGATTTTGAGGAACATGGGGAAAGCAAAGACTCGCGTATCAGGCCATAACAGACTGGAACAACTTGGACAGAAAGATAAAAACTCTAGTAGTATTTCTACATTTAAGAGAAACTTTTTTAGCAATCTTTCAATTTTCCCTCGTATAATTTGTTAATATTTTTCATAGTTATGTAATATATGCATGTCTTCCTTGTAAATTTGTTTATTTAGTTCAGGACCTTTCTGAAAATCACTTTGTGAGAAAGCTTCCTGAAAATAAATATTAATTTAAAAAAAAAACCAAAAAAAAAACAAAAAACAAAAAAACACATTCGAATATAGGAAATCCTGATCCAAGGAACACTACGCCCGACAAATCTACATACATACCAACAACAGAGTGAACATTCTAGATCAGTTATGGTGAGTTTCTCAGATAACACAGACGTGACATCTTCAACACAGCAGACATTATTGTGCTTGGTGTCTAAAAGTATATATAGCATTTGTTCTGTTTGTTTAAAGTCCTCAGATTTCTCATTTTTGGTTAGTGACTATCTTGTCAACACAGACGTCATGCGAAAATTGATATAACTATTTTTTAAATAGATTGCTTAGCAATCATATATAATAAAGACGATGGTTCCCACCAGAACATTGCAAGACAAAGATTACGTTGTACATACAAAACCACAGAAAAACTAGAATTTGTAATTTTGCACCATAGCACTCGTGCAGAAAAGCATGTGTGTTGAAGATTACAACAAACTGACACAGATACAGTTTTTTAATCCAGCATTCGCAATCTGACGTCCGTGTTGATAAAAAATGGGCTTACTCAAGCTCCCTAGCATCATATTTCTAATGCAACGTCAAGCTTCAATCCATTTGCATTTCCTTTCATTTAATATTTTTTAATTTGTGTTTTCAAATTACAGCACAATACCTCCATGAACCTCAATTAAACCATCCAAAGATGAAGCGAGATCATCAATCACAGCAGTATTTTGACTACTCGGGTTTGTACTCTTTGTCAGTACTTCTACAAACACCTATAATTGAGAAATTTGAATAAGGTGTTGCATATTTTAGACTTTGCAGTTTTCTTTGTTTCCTTGCAGCCCACGGCAGGTCCCTCTAGTTCCCTATCACGTCTTCAACCCATTGAACTATAAATAAACTGGAAGGCTAACTCAGGGGGGAAATTAAAGCCAGTGTATTTTAGTTTTTCTGAGTTATGAGCAGAAATACTCAACGTTACACTGAACGTTGGGCTATATATCAAATTGAAGCTATTGAAAAACGCTATTTGGTGCAGAAATTTCAAGATTTTAGCTAAAAGGGAAATATTGAAAAATTACAAACATAATTACCGAAAATTTGCCGTTTTGCAGTTGTTTTTGTATTTTTTAAATATTTTTCTTTTCGCTGAAGTCTTGAAATTTCCACACCGAATAGCAATTTTCAATAGCTTCAATTTGATATATAGCCCAACGTTTGGGGTCAAGTATTTCTGCTCATAACTCAGAAAAACTATTTCGGCTTCATCAAATCATAGGCCTTCATCATAGCAGTTAGCCTTCCAGTTTATTTATAGTTCAATGCTTCAACCTCGTACCCAGTCTCTTTCGTCTATGCTTTCGTCTATGCTTTCATCAAAGCCACAGAATAGATACCGGACCAGAAGTGTCACTCCTATGTGTTTTGGCTGAAGGAAAATGTCCGAAATTTTTTTGCGTGCTATGACGCCATCCTGGAGTGCACCCGGCACTTTGTACCTATGTTTTCCTATGAAAAACTTCCGTGTGCACTCCAGGATGGCGTATTTTCACGTCAGCACTCGTAAAATTTCGGACAAAATATCGTCTGAGTGACACTTCTGGTCCTGTATCTATTATGTGACAAAGCTTCTACATCGCGTTAGTATAATATGTGTGCAAATACGTAAAATATGCCATATAATTTTTATGCAAAATAAACAGTACCTTGGTCAAAGATTTGTGAGCTATGTCATTTTGTGGATTAACAAGAAGAACTTTGAGAAACCAAACAGCTGCTTGGGAGTAGTTCTTTAGACCAACATAAGCTTGAGCTTTGCGATAAAATCCCTAAAATATAGATTTATACTTACACTGTACCTGTAAGTATTTAAAACAAACTGCATTATTTTGTGATCATGCTACTACAGCTTCAATATTTTTCGAGCACTTTATACACATTGGTATATTTTTTATTAGGGGAGCACTATATTGAATTTACCCATTGTTGTGACCATGTGAATATTTTGCACTCCCTCAGAACACCCCCACACACACCTAGAGAAATTGGTATCCCCCCCAAAAATTAAACGCTGGTTGAAACAAGGATTTTGAACTTAAAATAAGACCAAAAATGTTAAAATGTCAAAGTTTCCTTACCACAATCCTGTTCCCACTATCGACTGTGCCTCCAGGCCCCTGCTGCAACTTGCTTGCCTGCCTAAATCCCCCCCCCCCTCCCTTCCCCCGAGAAAATCCGTCTACGGTTATGGTAATAATGGTGGAGTTAGCCAATATTTAATTTTTACTGTTTCATTGCCAACCTTTTCCCAATTTGGTATTTTCTTGCAAGCTCTATCAGCATAATCCAGAGCTGTTTGATATTCTTCTAAGACTAAGTAAACATGTGACAAATTGCCAAGTATAAAATGGTTAGTCGGATCTGAAAAGGAATTAAATAGGAGAAAAAAATTATGTTGGCAAATTAATACCTGAAGTAGCAAGTTCCAGGCTTTAACTGCTAATAGTCAACTAACAAGAGTTACCAAACATAGACGTTACATGATATATCTATATGTTTGCGGTGTTACTCTGAGTGCCTATCCACACCTGGCGAGCTTGAAAAATATGCCCGGCCACGGTGGGATTCGAACCTACGACTTTTGGAATACTAGCCCAATGCTCTTCCAATTGAGCTACGCGGTCAGGACGGTTCGAGTAAGTGATATTTCGGAACAGTATCTAGTTCCTACAATACCAATGTGTTCTAGTAATATAAAAAAAAAGTTAAAGAGTTTAAAAAAAAAAGTTAAAAAAAAGTAAAATATTACTAGAACACATTGGTATATTGAAGGAACTAGATACTGTTCCGAAATATCACTTACTCGAAACCGTCCTGACCGCGTAGCTCAGTTGGAAGAGCATTGGGCTAGTATTCCAAAGGTCGTAGGTTCGAATCCCACCGTGGCCGGGCATATTTTTCAAGCTCGCCAGGTGTGGATAGGCACTCAGAGTAACATCGCAAACATATTAAATTCACCTGAGTACGCAACACCAACACAGAAAAAATTCATATTACTAGTACACATTTGTATTGAAGGAACTAGATACTGTTCCGAAATATCACTTACTCGAACCGTCCTGACCGCGTAGCTCAGTTGGAAGAGCATTGGGCTAGTATTCCAAAGGTCGTAGGTTCGAATCCCACCATGGCCGGGCATATTTTTCAAGCTCGCCAGGTGTGGATAGGCACTCAGAGTAACATCGCAAACATATTATTCACCTGAGTACGCAACACCAACACAGAAAAAATTGATATATTTATGTTGTGTTATATGTTATATTATGTTAAAATGCATTTGCCATTCCCTCTAAATTTTTTGCGGTGGAATCACTATGTCTGTACTGTCATTTGATGTGCTTGCGATCTGCGAAAAATATTTCTTGGTTAAAAATACAATACTTTGATCGTAAAATGACTGAAATAGTGCAGGTTTATATCGTGACACCTACAATCGTGGAAAAAATTATCGTGGACAGCGCGCGCAAGTGGAAATACATGCTTTGCCGGGTATCACATTCTTCCCCGTGCCCCCTTTCAATATTGAAAGGCATTATAATACATAAGGGAAGCCTCACATATCGATTTTTTCCACGAGAAACGTCATATGTTCGTTTGGGGGGGTGTGACGTTTCTCTGTAAACATCATGGGAAAATTCTATAGTTTTTCGAAATCCTTAACATTTCGGAATCATCTTCACAAAATATAAAAAAGAAAACAACTTGTTACAAACACCTGAGTCTATGATAACATTATTACGACGGTAATAATAACAATAACAAGGACAAGGTGGGTCAAGGTGTTATCAAATTTATAACTAAATAACGTTATTTCCTTTAGATTTAGCTTTATTGTAACTTTTTAAAGGTATAAAGAATAGGTACGCAGTGCGTACATGTTGCATGCCATCTAAAGCTAGCGTGAGAACAGACCTACGTTACGCCCGCCCTAAAATTTGCAGGTTGACGGAGCCATTAGACTTGCCCCAAGTCTCTCTTTCATTGTCATATAGTATCAATCCACTATAGTGTACATTACATGACATAGTACGGAGGGGCAGAGCTAGAAAGAGAGACTTGTTAACTTCGGAAAATCTCGGTTGAAAACTGAACAGAAAATGCAAGACTTGCTTTAATTGTTTTCCTTCAATTTCCTTCTGTATTATTTTATACTATAATGGAACTCATGTTTTTTTACACTGTGCTAGATCAATACATATAAACACTGACAGAAAACAATTAAAGCAAGTCTTGCATTTTCGGTTCAGTTTTGAACCGAGAAGTTGACATTGTCTCTCTTTCTCGCTCCACCTCTCTGTGCTACGTCATGTAATGTACACTATAGTGGATCGATATGACAATGAAAGAGAGACTTGGAGCAAGTCTACGGATCCGTCAACCCGCAAATTTTAGGGTGGGCAAAACGTAGGTCTGTTTTCAGGCTAATCAAAACCATGAAACCTTATGACACAGAATACTATACAGAAGTCGATTTCCATTGTTTTTTGCGTAAGCGCTATTCGTCATGATTGATGATTCGTCACTCAGCAAATACCGTAAACAGAAGCAGTCGCCCCCTTGGTTATAATGCGCTAGTGCTTATAACGTTTGGTACAACTGGCCTGAAACTTAATATATTAATTGATTCAATAAGTTTAATACCAATATATTTATTGAAAAATGGCTAATATGTCAAAATAAGAAAACTTTAGATTATCACGCGAAAAGGCAATGTTTTTATGAGCGACTGTTCATCGTTATAGTTGCAGCTAGGTGACGGTAATATAAACAAGGTCACGGTTTTATCGAAAGCAATTGACTGTTAGATTTCCTTTACTATTTTATAACTAAATAATATTATTTCCTACAAATTTAGCTTTATTGTAGCCTTATTGAAAGTATAAAAAAAAACATGGAAACGGTGAATTACTACAGATTGAAAATAATTGTTAAACTACGATTGAAATTATCAACGTACAATGGTATTTCGTTGTAATTTCAATAGTATTAATGAGAATTTTGTTTATTTTTAATATATTTCATGTTATTTACAAAATGTACTGTAGTTTTGAAGTTTTGCACACAATATAATCAATGCGAGCACAATAACTCCACTTCAGTTTGAGTATTATATTTAAATTTAGTATATACATATATACATATATACATATATACATAATTATATACATATATACATATATACATATATACATATATACATATATACATATATATATATATATATATATATATATATATATATATATATATATATATATATATACTGGATCCAGAAAAGTTTGACCTTCGAATATATATATATGTTGGCCATTTTGAATTTTCTTGGGTTAATTATACGCGAACGCATACATCAAATGTCGCTCGCAACGTATTGTATATTACAATATTATTCCAACGATCGTGACTAAAACACCACACGAGTACATACGAGTAACATACGAGTAACACACAAGTACATACGAGTACATACGAGTAACATACGAGTACATACGAGTAACACACGAGTAACATACAAGTACACACGAGTAACATACGAGTACATACGAGTAAAGTACGATTACATACGAGTAAAATACGAGAATTAGCACGCTTTCTTTAAAGTTTCTTTCACACTTTCACTTTGGCTTCGTAATATGTTCATGTTATAAATGCCTAGTAGACATAGGCGTACAAGACAGGGGGGGCGGAAACTGCCCCCAGGGCCGCCGAGAGCTTGGCGGGGGCCCGGGGCAAATTTTTTTTAGGGGCCCTTATTTCAAAAATTTTTCCGGAAAATTTTTTTTAGGACAATAACCCCTCCCCGTCGACAACGTTTTGGGGGAAAAATTTTTACGGACGAGTACGATGTAATTGCTTTCCAGCGACTTTAACCCAATTTTTCATACCAAATTTCGTTACTTTGCCAAAAGAAAACAAATATCTTGCCCTTTGCGCGGAAATATTTCTTTAAAAAAAATGACTTGGGCCCAACAAAAAATTTCTAGGGGCCCCAAGGTTCTGGGGGCCTGGGACAATTTGCCCCTCCCCCTCTCGGCGGCACTGATTCCCCCCCCCAATTTTGGAAAACCATGGAAATTTGGGCAAAGGCTAGGAAAACTCAAGAAAATTCGGGCAGATTTATGAGAAAATATGTTAAAATCCTGCGAACGGGCTGTCAGGTTGGGTTCGAAAGGCGGTGCTTTTATATAAGCTAATAATAGATCTTAAATAAACTGAAAAACATACAAGCCATACAAATCAACTTTATGTTGTTATTATATGTTCGACTATAGGAGTATTATTATCATTATATGACATATTAGTGTAATGTAGTGAAATAATTCAACTAAAACACAGATCAACGCTTGGGCTCCTTGTGTTTAAATCTTTTCAAGAAGTGTTTTTAGGAGACAATAAAATTTTATAGCATTGATATAAAGAAGATGGTATAGAGACTGTGGCGTAGCCAGCGTAAAAGGCGTGAGCCATTTTAGGGGAAGTCTGGGGGCATGCCCCCCCCAGAATATTTTGAAATCTAGGGTCCCTGAAGCGCGATTTCCTGCATTTTTGGGGTGTGAGTTTGCATCAGTCCGAAGACTGTATAATTATGCATAAAAGACGTGATTTTTCGTGATGGAGAATGATGGGTTAAAATAGTGCAAATTACTCTTAAAACCGAATGATTGAAAGTAAAGATATTTTACAGTTAAAAACTTAAAGTAAACACTTTCTTCTTGGGGCCATATCTACTTACTTAGACAAGGTTATACACAATTATATTGTGAATTTGGATTTTTATTTCACCTCCCTCCCCCCCCCTTAATTGTTGGGTAAATCCTGTCCAGCATCCCCAAGTTGAAGGTCCTCTCTACGCCCCTGGTTGTAAATAGCACACAAAAGAATAGGATGGGAAGAACTGCCATACGCCATACTATGTTCTTAACTTTGATGTTGGAGGGGGGTGAAAATTTTTCAGACTGTTCCAAAAGGGTGGACTACATTTTTAAACACATTAAAAGGGAGGGTCATTTTTATTATGATGTTTGAATTTCAGAATCCACCAGCTCCCAACCGCCAAATAATGAACCATAAGTATTTTATATTTCCTGTTGAAAACAGGTGTACAATTGACGTATTAAATTTGCAAAACACATAGACTACAGACGTAAAACAACATGGCAAACATCCATTTTCATGTACTACAAAAACTCACTGACAGCTTGTGAGCAACATACTACATTTAAACCTTTTTAGAGTCTTAGAACATACAAATCTTTATTCTGTATTAATGAATTACCTTTTCTACGTCGTGCGAGGCTTCGAAATCCATCAACGCGTATAGAACGAGGCTGATGGTTTTTTTTTGGGGGGGGGGGCGGCAGTTGAAAGTTTGCCCGAGTTTTTATGGAGAATTGTAATGAAATAACCTGATTTTAACATATTTTCTGATAAATCTGCCCGAATTTTCTTGATTTTTCCTAGCATTTGCCCGAATTTCCATGGTTCTCCAAAATTTTGGGCGGTAGTCGCCTCCCCCCCTCCCGCCCCCTGTCTCGTACGCCTATGTCAATAAGGCATTCCCAACATGAACATAATACGAAGCCAAAGTGAAAGTGTGAAAGTGAAAGAAACTTTAAAGAAAGCGTGTTAATTCTCGTATTTTACTCGTATGTACTCGTATTTT